CATGAAGAGATGTTCAACATCATTATTAATTAAAGTGCAAATTAAAACCACAATGAGAAAACCACACACCTATTGCTAAATAAAAAATTGTGACATCAAATGCTGGTGAGGATGTGGAGAAACTGGATCACTCATATACTGCTGGTGGGAATGTAAAATGGTAGAGCTCCTCCGAAAAACAGTTTGGCAGTTTCTTGTAAAGATATGGCTCATTTAAATTGGAAAGCTTATATCGCTTATTTTCTAAATATGTAAGAGAGGTATCTGTACAGATATGGCTACTTTATTTTAATAAAACAAATTTATAGCAAAGGGGGAAAAACAGTGGAAATAGAATAATGGAACAGAGAATTTCAGGAATACCTGATTCTGGAGGTTCCTGCCTCTATCATTCCCATTGACAAGATCATTTCTGCATTCCTCTAGGGGAAGGATCCCATGGGAATATGGTGACAAGATAGTAACTTAGAATAGATGCTAGTATAAAAATATTCATGGCAATGTTGCTCCAAAATTTTTAAATCCAATGTGATTCTGGATCACCTATTTGACTTCTTAGGGGCTACACATTTTGACTGGTTTGAACTACATAACCTGGCTTTAGGTTGATGATGATTCTAGGACCAGACAGGTCCAGAGTATGGTATAATTCTAACTGAGAAACATGATCTAAATTTGCCAAAGAGATTCAGAATCCTCTGGGTTACATTCAAGCCTTCCTGACTATCTGGGATGACTCTAGACCCACTTAAAATTGAACAACTCCAGTGTCCAGCTATGTCTCCCCTCAAAGAATTAAAAAATTCTTGCCAAACTTCTCCGCTAGATCTTTAATTAAAGATTGGTCCCCAGTACTAGTGCCTTGCAGAAGGGGCTAATTCTGAAGTTTCTTCCCTCTAACACCAGTGTTCTTAAGATTCAATCTGTTAGTCATCCATAGTCACAGCCAGTGAAGAGAAAGGCTTTAATTGTACCTTAGAAAGTTAATATAACTATGTATTTATGAATGCCTATCCCTACACAAATATATATGCACATATATAAACATATAAATAATTTTTAAATTAAGCATTATAAGGATTCTAGCTCTCAAAACAAAGTAGCCCTTCTTAATCCAATAAAACATATTTTACTTGTAATAAAAACTGTTCCCTATCAACAAATGTATGTAACATTAAGAATAAAACACATATGCAAAAAGAGTTGCACTTATAAAGTAAAAATTTCATCCCACAGATAATGAAGGCACCAAGTTCAGTTCTGTGGAAGTAGATGTGGTTTCTGTGTTCAGGGAACTTCCAGTTTAGTGAAGTCTTGCCCAGAGGCAGATAAAAGAGAGTGATCATCTCTTTTGTTAAGAGATGAAAAGGAAGATCAAATCAAAGATGACCTGCAGACATTAACCCTACACTGAAGTCATGAACCCACTCATTAAGACCACAGAGGATGCAATCATAGGGACATGGATGGTAGATAAAAACAGGAGAAAATTTAATGTTATCATGAGATTCTCTTTTACCTCATTAACCAGCGAAGTTGAAACTCTAAGATACTACCAACCTCTTTTTGCTAGCAACCATTTCCTAAGCTAACATATTATAATTCAGTATATCCTAACAGAAAGTGACTTTATTTTCTATGAAATCAGACCTGCTGAGAAGCAGAATCTGTAAGAAATAATATGCAGCTTTCAAATAATTTTGGTAAGAAAGCCCTTAATTGGCCACTAAGCTTCATAAAAAGGACAGAAGAAAAGAAAAAAAGAGTAAGATTCTATCTACATAATGGGATCTGACTTACAGTAAACAAAACACCTCTACTTAAAAACATTTCCAACTCTTAATTAATGGAGTTACTGATACTCTATTTGTTCTAATGACTCCATCAAAAATTTTTAATAATTTAAGATGACAAAGTTCACTGAAATGGAATTTGCAGAAATGCAATTTGATCCTTAGTTCTATGTGTCTAACTCTCTTGAAACGGACATATCTAACAGCAGCCACAAAATTCCCATTAACAGTCACTTCTTTAATTACATTATTATTTACACCTAGCTCTGGTAACAGTAGGATTTCATGTGATAAAGCCTAACCAAGAGAGAAATAAATTCATTATTGCTACTAATCTGAAACAAACCTAACCCACATGTAGGGAGGGGCAATAACAGAACAGGCTGGAAGGTAGTCAACTGCCTTAGGACAATTTTACACTTGGCCTGAAGCTACTCACAACTCTCACTCCTCCTCTACATGGTTTCTATCAAGAAAGTTAGAGAATGTAGACCTGGTGCTGCTCGTCTCTGTGGAGCCCTGGCTCAGTGGCCATAGGGCAGTGAATTAGCACGAATACACCCTTATTACGTCTACCCACAGCACATGTCTCAGAGATCAGCAGAATGAACAACAAAAAAAAGATACCCGGACAAGTTAAATACCCCAATGAAGGCAATTCTTCAATCACCAATAAATCAGGACACTTTCTTGAAATTAAGCTCTGTCAATGAGGCACTTAATAAAAACAAAGGACACTTATGAAAGCATCTAGTAACTAAGAAAGATAAAGATCACAAGAAGAAAGGCAAGATTTATACATCTTTTGCATTTTGTAAAAAATAGGATGCTATACTTCAGCAGAAGTTTTCTAAGAAATGAGGTTTGAGAAGGAAACTACAGTATTTTCTTGTTCCTCCTGAATCAATACCCCTTTTAGTTTCATTAACTAAAATGATTTCTTCAGTGCTTTCCAATTCATAAACAATGCTTCGCTTTTGGTTAAACAAGGAAAAATTAAGGCAGTGTTTTTAAGCCCAATAAAAGAAAGAAGTTACCAACAAATAAGCCTGAGAGGGCCACAGAGAGCTCATATTAGGATAGCACATCAAGCAATTATAGTTTTAAATATAAAATATTTGCTTCAAAAATTGACATTTCTTTTTCTTACTTTTTAGCTATATGTACTTTGAAGAGCCCACTTAATTTTAAAGAATTATGGGAGCACTTTTCACATGATTCTGGAACACAGCATGAATGGTGCTTGACCCAGAACTACTAACTCAGATAGCAAACAATCATGTTCATATGTACCACTGACCCTGTATAAAAAGGCAGAGGACCCACGACTGTCAAAATATCATTGGAAATGGCTAAAATCCTTTGGAATTTGCTACAAAACAGAAGATATAAAATTTTGAGGTATTGTTGCCTTACAATGTTACCAAGGTTTGGATGAAAAAAATAATGAGGGTTTTTTTGTTTTGTTTTGCTTGGGCAAAGCTCATTTTAAATCTTCTCTTCTCATCATCGTTGTATTGATTATCCCTGAGCTTTATCTCCTGTGCCTGTCATATCAACCAGTCATCTGTGGTTTCAGTCATCCAGTGAGTGCTACGTCTTGTTATACCAATTCATGGAGCGTTTCACGGCTTTGACCCAGTTTTCCATATTCATTTCATATTCCTGCCATTTCTTCTGTGGCTTGAAAATCATTTCACTTTGCCTCAGTTTCTTTAGTTCCTCCTTATCAGTCCAGAACCCTGATAACAGATGAAAAAAAATTAATCTCAAATTTAAGACAAATAATGAGTCCATATAGTTTATCCACAAACCTATGTGAGCTGCTGCAAAGGTAAACAATTAACTTAAGACACAAACCAAAATAATTTGTTATTTTTGAATTTCGTTAGATTGTCCTTGGGAATACATACATCAGGATTTTAAAATCTTTTCATTTCTAATTATCAGTTTTATTTCTGTGTGGCAGGGCACCACTCATTTCTAGAGCAGCCACACCCTCTCATCATTTAATTTCATGACTTGCTATTAAGAAAGAAAAAGTAAGAAATATAGAAATTTTTTATACAATTAAAGAAAAGCAAAGATAAATTAAGATTTCTGTCATATAGGTAAGGTAAGCAGCAACTCCCTGGGATATCCATAAAATTCTAAGTTGGGAATGAATATAATAAATAGTCTCTTTATCTAATTATTGTATTTCATGTAAATAATTTACATTTCAGTTCAAGATAATGTCGTAGTTCTGCTATGTATTATTCTTTATAAAGAGGATCATGAGATTTATAATACGTAAAAAGCAGCAAGAAAAAACATTTATAACTATAATTATAAGTACTCTGGAAAGGTAGAGGTGTCTTGTTGATGAACTTGGTATATCTCACCTACACTGAAGTATTAACCTAGTTGAGAAGTCTTCATTAAGTATATTTTAATCTCTTACCAATGAGGCTGACACATAAAATTCTTTCTTGTAAAATTTTCTGTCAGGTAATCTTTCTATTTACAAAGTCAGCATTTTAGACATCCATATTTAGAGATATCAATTAATTTATGGAAATTATTAAAAGACCAAAGATAGTTTTCATTAGCATACTAGAGTTAGATAAATCTAGTCATGAAAATAAGCATGTTCTTAAAAATCTTTGTTTCCTGAATTTATTATTACAGTTTAAGGCATATATATATATTTTTTGGTATCATTAATCTATAATTACATGAGGAACATTATGTTTACCAGACTCCCCCCTTCACCAAGTCCCCACCACATACCCCATTACAGTCACTGTCCATCTGCATAGTAAGATGCTGTAGAATCACTACTTGTCTTCTCTGTGTTGTACAGCCCTCCCCGTGCCCCCCGCACATTATATATGCTAATTGTAAGGCCCCCTATTTTCTTCCCCCACCTTCTCCCTCCCTTCCCACCCATCCTCCCAAAGCATATGTATTTTTAAAAGTAATTTTATTAAATTTGTATAAATAGATCCAGTCTCTGCGTGAATTTTGAAAATATAAAGGATTTCTGGTCTCAGATTTCTGAGAGAAAAGCAATCCAACCAGAAATCTCAGCTTTTCAGAGAAGGAAAAACTGCTTCCCATAGTCAGTGAAGTATCTTTGTATGGAAAAGCTATGAAATTAAATATAGACATAATAAAGTAGATCAAATTCAAGCTACTATGTTACACATGAGAACACCACTTAAAATTGAACAACTCCAGTGTCCAGCTATGTCTCCCCTCAAAGAATTAAAAAATTCTTGCCAAACTTCTCCGCTAGATCTTTAATTAAAGATTGGTCCCCAGTACTAGTGCCTTGCAGAAGGGGCTAATTCTGAAGTTTCTTCCCTCTAACACCAGTGTTCTTAAGATTCAATCTGTTAGTCATCCATAGTCACAGCCAGTGAAGAGAAAGGCTTTAATTGTACCTTAGAAAGTTAATATAACTATGTATTTATGAATGCCTATCCCTACACAAATATATATGCACATATATAAACATATAAATAATTTTTAAATTAAGCATTATAAGGATTCTAGCTCTCAAAACAAAGTAGCCCTTCTTAATCCAATAAAACATATTTTACTTGTAATAAAAACTGTTCCCTATCAACAAATGTATGTAACATTAAGAATAAAACACATATGCAAAAAGAGTTGCACTTATAAAGTAAAAATTTCATCCCACAGATAATGAAGGCACCAAGTTCAGTTCTGTGGAAGTAGATGTGGTTTCTGTGTTCAGGGAACTTCCAGTTTAGTGAAGTCTTGCCCAGAGGCAGATAAAAGAGAGTGATCATCTCTTTTGTTAAGAGATGAAAAGGAAGATCAAATCAAAGATGACCTGCAGACATTAACCCTACACTGAAGTCATGAACCCACTCATTAAGACCACAGAGGATGCAATCATAGGGACATGGATGGTAGATAAAAACAGGAGAAAATTTAATGTTATCATGAGATTCTCTTTTACCTCATTAACCAGCGAAGTTGAAACTCTAAGATACTACCAACCTCTTTTTGCTAGCAACCATTTCCTAAGCTAACATATTATAATTCAGTATATCCTAACAGAAAGTGACTTTATTTTCTATGAAATCAGACCTGCTGAGAAGCAGAATCTGTAAGAAATAATATGCAGCTTTCAAATAATTTTGGTAAGAAAGCCCTTAATTGGCCACTAAGCTTCATAAAAAGGACAGAAGAAAAGAAAAAAAGAGTAAGATTCTATCTACATAATGGGATCTGACTTACAGTAAACAAAACACCTCTACTTAAAAACATTTCCAACTCTTAATTAATGGAGTTACTGATACTCTATTTGTTCTAATGACTCCATCAAAAATTTTTAATAATTTAAGATGACAAAGTTCACTGAAATGGAATTTGCAGAAATGCAATTTGATCCTTAGTTCTATGTGTCTAACTCTCTTGAAACGGACATATCTAACAGCAGCCACAAAATTCCCATTAACAGTCACTTCTTTAATTACATTATTATTTACACCTAGCTCTGGTAACAGTAGGATTTCATGTGATAAAGCCTAACCAAGAGAGAAATAAATTCATTATTGCTACTAATCTGAAACAAACCTAACCCACATGTAGGGAGGGGCAATAACAGAACAGGCTGGAAGGTAGTCAACTGCCTTAGGACAATTTTACACTTGGCCTGAAGCTACTCACAACTCTCACTCCTCCTCTACATGGTTTCTATCAAGAAAGTTAGAGAATGTAGACCTGGTGCTGCTCGTCTCTGTGGAGCCCTGGCTCAGTGGCCATAGGGCAGTGAATTAGCACGAATACACCCTTATTACGTCTACCCACAGCACATGTCTCAGAGATCAGCAGAATGAACAACAAAAAAAAGATACCCGGACAAGTTAAATACCCCAATGAAGGCAATTCTTCAATCACCAATAAATCAGGACACTTTCTTGAAATTAAGCTCTGTCAATGAGGCACTTAATAAAAACAAAGGACACTTATGAAAGCATCTAGTAACTAAGAAAGATAAAGATCACAAGAAGAAAGGCAAGATTTATACATCTTTTGCATTTTGTAAAAAATAGGATGCTATACTTCAGCAGAAGTTTTCTAAGAAATGAGGTTTGAGAAGGAAACTACAGTATTTTCTTGTTCCTCCTGAATCAATACCCCTTTTAGTTTCATTAACTAAAATGATTTCTTCAGTGCTTTCCAATTCATAAACAATGCTTCGCTTTTGGTTAAACAAGGAAAAATTAAGGCAGTGTTTTTAAGCCCAATAAAAGAAAGAAGTTACCAACAAATAAGCCTGAGAGGGCCACAGAGAGCTCATATTAGGATAGCACATCAAGCAATTATAGTTTTAAATATAAAATATTTGCTTCAAAAATTGACATTTCTTTTTCTTACTTTTTAGCTATATGTACTTTGAAGAGCCCACTTAATTTTAAAGAATTATGGGAGCACTTTTCACATGATTCTGGAACACAGCATGAATGGTGCTTGACCCAGAACTACTAACTCAGATAGCAAACAATCATGTTCATATGTACCACTGACCCTGTATAAAAAGGCAGAGGACCCACGACTGTCAAAATATCATTGGAAATGGCTAAAATCCTTTGGAATTTGCTACAAAACAGAAGATATAAAATTTTGAGGTATTGTTGCCTTACAATGTTACCAAGGTTTGGATGAAAAAAATAATGAGGGTTTTTTTGTTTTGTTTTGCTTGGGCAAAGCTCATTTTAAATCTTCTCTTCTCATCATCGTTGTATTGATTATCCCTGAGCTTTATCTCCTGTGCCTGTCATATCAACCAGTCATCTGTGGTTTCAGTCATCCAGTGAGTGCTACGTCTTGTTATACCAATTCATGGAGCGTTTCACGGCTTTGACCCAGTTTTCCATATTCATTTCATATTCCTGCCATTTCTTCTGTGGCTTGAAAATCATTTCACTTTGCCTCAGTTTCTTTAGTTCCTCCTTATCAGTCCAGAACCCTGATAACAGATGAAAAAAAATTAATCTCAAATTTAAGACAAATAATGAGTCCATATAGTTTATCCACAAACCTATGTGAGCTGCTGCAAAGGTAAACAATTAACTTAAGACACAAACCAAAATAATTTGTTATTTTTGAATTTCGTTAGATTGTCCTTGGGAATACATACATCAGGATTTTAAAATCTTTTCATTTCTAATTATCAGTTTTATTTCTGTGTGGCAGGGCACCACTCATTTCTAGAGCAGCCACACCCTCTCATCATTTAATTTCATGACTTGCTATTAAGAAAGAAAAAGTAAGAAATATAGAAATTTTTTATACAATTAAAGAAAAGCAAAGATAAATTAAGATTTCTGTCATATAGGTAAGGTAAGCAGCAACTCCCTGGGATATCCATAAAATTCTAAGTTGGGAATGAATATAATAAATAGTCTCTTTATCTAATTATTGTATTTCATGTAAATAATTTACATTTCAGTTCAAGATAATGTCGTAGTTCTGCTATGTATTATTCTTTATAAAGAGGATCATGAGATTTATAATACGTAAAAAGCAGCAAGAAAAAACATTTATAACTATAATTATAAGTACTCTGGAAAGGTAGAGGTGTCTTGTTGATGAACTTGGTATATCTCACCTACACTGAAGTATTAACCTAGTTGAGAAGTCTTCATTAAGTATATTTTAATCTCTTACCAATGAGGCTGACACATAAAATTCTTTCTTGTAAAATTTTCTGTCAGGTAATCTTTCTATTTACAAAGTCAGCATTTTAGACATCCATATTTAGAGATATCAATTAATTTATGGAAATTATTAAAAGACCAAAGATAGTTTTCATTAGCATACTAGAGTTAGATAAATCTAGTCATGAAAATAAGCATGTTCTTAAAAATCTTTGTTTCCTGAATTTATTATTACAGTTTAAGGCATATATATATATTTTTTGGTATCATTAATCTATAATTACATGAGGAACATTATGTTTACCAGACTCCCCCCTTCACCAAGTCCCCACCACATACCCCATTACAGTCACTGTCCATCTGCATAGTAAGATGCTGTAGAATCACTACTTGTCTTCTCTGTGTTGTACAGCCCTCCCCGTGCCCCCCGCACATTATATATGCTAATTGTAAGGCCCCCTATTTTCTTCCCCCACCTTCTCCCTCCCTTCCCACCCATCCTCCCAAAGCATATGTATTTTTAAAAGTAATTTTATTAAATTTGTATAAATAGATCCAGTCTCTGCGTGAATTTTGAAAATATAAAGGATTTCTGGTCTCAGATTTCTGAGAGAAAAGCAATCCAACCAGAAATCTCAGCTTTTCAGAGAAGGAAAAACTGCTTCCCATAGTCAGTGAAGTATCTTTGTATGGAAAAGCTATGAAATTAAATATAGACATAATAAAGTAGATCAAATTCAAGCTACTATGTTACACATGAGAACAATTTGCATTTGTTCATTATTTAGAAGCATTTTAAATGTTAAGATAGTCTGACATATTTAGTCTTACAAGGTAAAAAGGGTAGAAGAATTTTATTAGTCTTATAAACAGTACTAGAATGTTTATGAGCATTTAATTTACTGTAATTGTAAGCTACCTCTATTCATTTTGTAAGAGTTTGTTTAAATATTTGAGATTTCCCCTGTTATAGTTCCAAGTTTGCCAGTTAGGCATATGAAAGAAACCATTAAAAAGAAAATCAACTACATTAAATTTGTAAGAATTGAAATATACAAAGGAATTTAAATATGTAAATGGAAATGATTATTTAAGGGAAGTTATTTTCTTCTACTTGAATTAGTTAAATATGAATCAATGCTAAGAAAATGCAAACAAAATCACAGTGAGATATCATGTCACACCAGTTAGAATGGCCACTATACAGATGGCATTAAAGATGGCGGAGTGAGAGGTGAGACAGAGGCTTCCTCCTAAAACCACATATAATATGAAAATATAATTAATACAACTAATCCTGAAAGAGCAACAGGAAAGAGGACTGCGCCAGACTGTATACACCTGGAAAAAAGAGCAGACCTTATGGAACAGGGTAACGTACCAAAGCTGTGGCCTGACAGGATGCAAGTCCTTCCCCCACCCCAGCTCACCAGCAGGAGGGAGAGAAATGGAGCAGAGAGGGGATGGAGGCCTAAGACTGCTGAATACCTAACTCCAGAGATCTGCTCTGGGAGCACAAACCTACATTTCATGGTGCTTTCATGATACTCTCATGATTAGGGGGTTGGAAAGCTAAGACAGGAAGAATTCCTGGAGAGACTGAGATTCTGGCTACTTGTGGAAAGCAGGGATCTATATCCAGCTGCTCTTGAACAAAAGAAAGGAGAGCAGTCTGAGAGACTCCCTAATAAGGAAGCCCTTAGCAAGAGGACTGCTAAAGGGGCAAGAATTGCACAGAGCTTACTGCTCAGGGGAAAGGACAGGTAGACAAAATTGTCCGGGTGCACTCTGCCCAGCAGATTGGGAGCTTTCACGATTTCCAGGTACTCCAGCTCCCTGGCTGGCTGCACAGTTCCAAGCACCCCCTCCATGATACACAGCTGACTGCGCCATTCTCCCAGCCAGCCCCACCTGGCTCGCAAACTGGCACACCCTACCCTGGTGTTAGGCCAGCCAGAGGGAAGATCTGTCTAGAGCAACTACAAACGCAAAGCATAGAACCTTATACCTGTGTGCTCTGCCCACTGGTTCAGGCACTGGAGACAGGCATAGAAGCCGGGAGGCAGAGAACAGCTCTTTCCTCCCCCCAGGCACCAATACCACTCCCCTGTGACCCTGGACATTGCTTCAGGGGCTGAGCAGCTCCAGAGAGTAGAGCTTCTGGACACTAGAGGGCGCCATATACAAATATGAAATGACAAAGGAACCTGGTTCACAATAAAATTAATATAACTCCTGAGAAAGATTACATGGAACTCTCATGACCCTTCCTGAAACAAAATCCAAAATAAAAATCATTAACATGCTTATGGAGGTACGGAAAGATACTCAAGAACTCAGGAATGAATTCCAGTCGGAGATCCAACTGTTGAAGAGCACAATGGAGGGTGTTAAAAGCAGATTAGATATGGTGGAGGAGACAATAAATGAAACAGAAATTAGAGAGGAGGAATACAAAGAAGCTGAGGCACAGAGAGAAAAAAGGATCTTGAAGAATGAAAGAACATTGAGAGAACTCTGTGACCAATACAAACGGAACCATATTCGCATTATAGGGGTACCAGAAGAAGAAAGAGAGAAAAAGGGATAGAAGGTGTCTTTGAGGAGGTAATTGCTGAAAACTTTCCCAATATGGGGAAGAAGATAGTCTCTCAGGTCATGGAGATCCACAGATCTCCCAATGCAAGGGATCCAATGAAGACAACACCAAGACATACAGTAATTAAAATGGCAAAGATAAAGGATAGGGAGAGACTATTAAATGCAGCCAGGAGAGAAATAAGATCACATACACAGGAAAGCCCATCAGGCTATCAGCAGACTTCTCAGCAGAAACCTTACAGGCCAGAAGGGAGTGGCAAGATGTATTTAATGTAATGAAGCCGAAGGGCCTGGAACCAAGATTACTTTATCCGGTAAGATTATCATTTAAATTTGACATTTAAATTTATCTATCATTAAACAATTCCCAGATAAGCAAAAGCTGAAAGAATTTACCTCCCACAAACCATCTCTACAGTCAATTTTGGAGGGACTGCTACAGATGGAAGGGTTCCTAAGGTTTAATAGCTATCACCAGAGGTAATAAGACCACAGTAAAGAAAGTAGAACACCTAAATACTAATCAAATGCAAAATTAAATTAACAATCCCCGAAGTCAATCAAGGGGTAGAAAAAGAGTACAGAATATGATACCTAATATATAAAGAATGGAGGAGGAAGAAAAAGTAGGAGAAAAAGAACCTTTAGATTATGTTTGTAATAGCGTATTAAGTGAGATAAGTTAGACTCTTAGATAGTACGGAAGTTAAGCTTGAACCTTTGGTAACCACAAATCTAAAGTCTGCAATGGCAATAAGTACATACCTATCGATAATCACCCTAAACATAAATGGACTGAATGTACCAATAAAAAGACACAGAGTCACAGAATGGATAAAAAACAAGACCCATCAATATGCTGCCTACAAGAGACTCACTTTAAACCCCAAAACATACACAGCCTAAAAATGAAGGGATGGAAAAAGATATTTCATGCAACTAATAGGGAGAAAAAAGCAGGTGTTGCAGTACTTGTATCAGACAAAATAGATTTCAAAACACAGAAACTCACAAGAGACAAAGAAGGACATTACATAATGATAAAGGGGTCAATCCACAAGAAGATATAACCATATTATAAATATCTATGTGCCCAACACAGGAGCACCTACCTATGTGAAACAAATACTAACAGAATTAAAAGAGGACATAGAATGCACTACATTCATTCCAGGAGACTTCAACATTCCACTTACTCTGAAGGACAGATCAACGAGACAGAAAATAAGTAAGGACACAGAGGCACTGAACAACACATTAGAACAGATGGAGCTAACAGATATCTACAGAACTCTACACCCAAAAGCAGCAGAATACACATTCTTCTCAAGTGCACATGGAACATTTTCAAGAAAAGATCATATACTAGACCACAAAAAGAGCCTCAGTAAATTCATAAAGATTGAAATTGTACCAACCAGTTTCTCAGACCACACAAGTATGAAACTAGAAATAAATTATGCAAAGAAAATGAAAAAGCCCACAAACACATGGAGTTTCAGAACATGCTCCTAAATGACCAATGGATCAATGACCAAATAAAAACAGAGATCAAGCAACATATGGAGACAAATGACAACAATAATTCAACACCCCAAATCTCTGGGACACAGCGAAGGCTGTGCTAAGAGGAAAGTATATTGCAATATAGGCCTACCTCAGGAAAGAAGAACAATCCTGTATGAACAGTCTAAACTCACAATTAATG